CTTTTAACAATTACAAATGCTAGAAACGTGGCTTTCAAAGGAATGATTGCTATCAAATAGCACACCTAGGTTCCTAACTGATGACGAATTGACAGAGCAGCCATCGAGTCTTAGTGTTCTAGGTTATTACATGCTGAGTTTTTAGGTCCTATAATTAACGCCTCTTTTTTTCAGAATTTAGCAATGAACGCAGCGCTAAGATCCAGTAGCACTAATAGAGAGATACAACCACGATCAGATGATAAGAGCAGGTCACATGAGAGACGGGCACATTTGATGTCACTTCATAAACAAGAGATTATGTGAGTTACACCCACATCAGGCAGTTTAAGGCAGGCTAATCGTGTTTAGTGCTGTAAAATTAATTGATGCTTGTGTGTAGACAAAACAAGAGTGAATTTGGAAAGAAGAAGAGTCAAAAAATCATTTGTAGGCAACTAATAATGGTCTACTCTAAACAGAGATCAGAGAATATACATTTTTTATTTATTGTATGAAAATCTGTACAAACTACAACGTATTAAAATAACTACGGAAGTAAAATAATGTTTTAACGCAAAAACTAGCTTATAGACATTGCATTTTATAGATGGCTATGTTAGTGTATCACATTAGCGTTACATGAGAACTGCTCAAAATTCAATTCAAATAAGAATGAAAATAAAATAAAAAATAACTGGAAAAAGTAACTGAAATAAAACAGATAAAAGTAAATAAATACGAACATAATGCACATAAATATGTCTAGCTAAAATCACCAAAATAAAATTTAAAACAATCAAATCAAAAATTGTATTTCAACTGTGAAGGTGTCAGGGATATGGACCTGTCTGTGTGTGTTTTTCTCCCCATGTGCTCCGTGACCTAGTTTCTCCCTTGTCTGATTGTCATATTTGATTCACCTGTGTCTTGTTAATTACCTCGTTTAGGTTTAGTATTTATAGTGTAGTCTGCCCCATGTTTCCTTGTCGGTTCTTAAACGTCTATCCCTGTTGTGCTACCTGTGTGTTCCTGCCCTGTATTCCTTGTTCCTGTGGATTATTAAAGACTGTGTTTGTGTTCATCACGCGACTCCTCGTTCCTCGCTGTAGTGCAACCGTGACAGGATGGGAGAAAAAACATTGGGCTAGTTTTTCTTCTTTTTTCTTTCCCTTTGGGTTGTACAGTTTTTTACGATTGCTTACACACTAAAATTAAAAATAACACAGTTAGTGAAACCTCACACTCAAAGAGTAAATCCTCAGCCCAATCTGCACATCTAAGCACATTCTCAGCCTCCCACTTTTTGCAAAACATTACACACATTGTTTTGCAAGACACTAAACACACTTCTCTACATTAGACACAGAAATATAACATGATGTCACTTCTTTGCCATTTGAAGGCACTGCTTTCCAAAATACTACACATATGAACCAATTGATCAAACTCGGCCATTAGGTGTGCAGACACTTAGGTGCTTAACTGTAAAGTTATCAAGGTGTAAGCACTATAAAAAGGCAACAGGTGAATTTTTGACTTTAACAAAAATGAAAGGCAGTTGCAGTAGGAGGAAGAGGAATAGGGAGAAACATCTTTGGCCACAGAGCTATTTTGAATGTCCTGGGTCAATGTGATGGTAACATCACAATATATGCTGCAATCATGCAGAATGGGGTCCTCCACTGGCATGCCAAAATAGGTCCTTACAACACCAACCACATACTCACGTTTTTAGACAGACTAAGTATTGGACAGACATGTATCTGGTTCCATTATTCCAGTACCTCCCACAACACTCTCCCTTCATTTCCCTTTTCCCTTCTGCATGGCAGTGGAAGGTTTATGATCTCCGACCCTATGTTATACCCCTCATTCAAGCTATGGAGGAGGCCTGTCACCTAATAGATGCAGAGTCTGTGTAAGCATGGATTCACTATTCGAGAAGATTCTTCCCTCGCTGTCTTGTGAGGGAGGACATTGCCTGTAATGTGGACGAAGTGGCCATACGAATTGGTGGCCATTTTTTCCCGTCTCCACAAACGTTTATGTACTATATTGTTTTTGGAATATGTTCTGATTTTCAGTGCAAAATGCAGCCTAATTGCAATGATGCACTGAAGGATTTTACAATGTGGTGAAAAATAAATGTTATCATGAATGTGCAGTACTTGCCTCATGTGTTGTGTTTGGTCAATATATTCATGTACTTTAACAAAATCTCAAAATTTTTTTTTGATCAAAAATAGAAATTTACAAGTGTTTAAGTGGTTCAAACAGAATCCAACTCTATGAACCATGTGTGTGCCATACGGTATTGGCGGCTCGTCGGGGGAGGCACAGCTTCCCCAAAATGTTGAGGTGAAAATGGGAGGAGGACTATTTAATGTTAATAGACCCATCCATGACCCATCTTCAGTGTTCTGGCTGAGGGAAGGAGGTTCTCGTCCAAGATTTTACAGTACATGGCCCCATCCATTTGCCCCTCAATGCGGTGAAGTCGTCCTGAACCCTTAGCAGAAAAACAGCCCTAAAGCATAATGTTTCCACCTCCGTGCTTGACTGTAGGGATGGTGTTCTTGGGGTCATTTCTCTCCCTCCAAACACGTCGAGTCGAGTTAATGCCAAAGAGCTCAATTTTGGTCTCATCTGACCACAGCGCTTTCTCCCAAGCCTTCTCCGAATCATTTAGATGTTCATTGGCAAACTTTAAACGGGTACATGTGCCTTCTTGAACAGGAGGACCTTGTGGGCTCTGCAGGATTTCAGTCCATTGCGGCGTAGTGTGTAATCAATGGTTTGCTTGGTGACTGTGGTCCCAACTGCCTTAAGATCATTAACAAGCTCCTCCCGTGTAGTTCTGGGCTGATCCCTCACCTTTCTTATGATCATCCTTACCCTGAGGCGAGATCTTGCACGGAGCTCCAGACCAAGGCCGATTGATGGTTCACTGAAATGCAAATCAATTTCTAACCTTTATATAATGTTTTTTTCGGATTTTTTTTTTTGATATTGTGTCTCTATCCATCTATAAAAATTACAGACCATTCATTTCTTTGTAAGTGGGCAAACTTACAAAATCAGCAGGGGGTCAAATAAATATTTCCCCCACTGTATATGAAGATTTCAGGAAGTTAGGTGATGGCCTCAGCCTTGCTCACGAACCTTTAGTTAACAAACCAACTCCCTAAAAACAGTTTCTGAAAAGGAACATCTAGTACTGTTAAAGGAGTAGTTCACTTTCAGAATGAAAATTGTCACCATTTACTCACCCCCCACTTGTTCCAAACCTGTATGAGTTTTTTTTCTTCTGTTGAACACAAAAGATATTTTGAAAAATGTTGGGATCTGAACAGTTGATGAGCACCATACAAATATTCCATCTTGAATATGAATCAAACACAATAAAAGGTCAACTTAAATGAGTAGTAAATATTTGAATATGAATACATGATGAGGATTAATATAAGCATAAACACAAAACAAACAAAAAAAAAGAATAAATGAATACATGGATATGAAAATCAAGGAAAACCTAACATTGATTTGGACACATCAGCCATATTTTTTTTTTTTTTATGCTGTACACATTTTTAAGAAACATTTAAGAAATAGAGGGGGATTATCGACTAAAAAATATTTTTTTAATGCTATATTGATACTAAAATGGATATTTCCTATCTTCTTATATTCGCTACAAAATGGGTAGGTTAAGGGGTCTAAAAATCTAAATTGCTTATTGATAAAATGATAAAAATGCACTGGTACAAATATCTTAATGATATAAAATATTTGTAAATATTGTCATTTTTTTTAGCTGTAAAAATGTAGCAATTTTACGTTTTAAACATTGTAACACGTCTAAATTGTATGTTCCAGGATAAAACAAAACGTACAAAAATGTTTGTTTTGTGCTTATAGACGTTATATATTAATACATACAGGTGCATCTCAATAAATTAGAATGTCGTGGAAAAGTTCATTTATTTCAGTAATTCAGCTCAAATTGTGAAACTCGTGTATTAAATAAATTCAGTGCTTCTGCTGAGGGGTGAGAAGATGGCTCTCCTCACACACACACACACACACACACACACACACACACACACAACTCTTGGATAGCATAGTAGTAATGACCCTACAGCGTGACTGTGTCCATTGATCATAATGATTTGTTTTTGCCAGATTATTTTTATTTTCATATGTGCTAAAAATATATGCAATAGCTAACAATCTGTCCACTAAACTATGATACTCATGAACTATTTTTACATTTTAAATAATTAGAACACTGCTTCTCATATATATTTTACATAAAATATGTTTTAGATATTCATGCAGGTTGCAGAGCATTACATCTCTTGCCCTTAGTGACTGAATATCACATGGATATCTGATAAATCAATCTTGAACCTTTGTATGTGCATCACTGTAGAAACCTAATGCATGTCACTTGAAGTGTAGTGCTACATGCAGTCTGTAAAATTCACCAGAGTAAACATCCTTCCCCAAAGTGGTGTTTAAAGTGTGATTATGCTTAACCAGTAGATGTTTCACTCATAAACTGCTGTTTAACATTTCTCTCTCTCCCTCTCCCTCCTGTAAGAGTTGTGGTGATTCAGTGAGTTGTTAGCTCATGTTTTATCCAAAACTCAAACACCAAAGGCAGCGCTTTTTTTGTAGAACTTTATTTTTGAAATTATTTTATAAAATCATCGCTTTTAATTAATTTATATAATTATAGGATTATACTTTTGCTGACACACTTTTTGGCTAACACCTTACCCCGTTCCACCAGCCCCTTTGCCCCACCACGCCTCCGTTGAAGATCAAACTTGTTTGCCAGACAGAGATCTGACCTCTGCAGAAGTGAATGCTGCTTCATGGACAGCGGAAACCAGGAGCAGTGTATGGAGGGTCAACACACTCATCAGTTCATCTCTAGTGAAATCACCACACAAACCCATTAAACAGGGTATGATGAGAACTGATGGGCGTGAGAGAGAAAGTGGCTTAGTCACACACAGGTTATCCATCACTCGGGGTTAAAACACTTTGAAATGGCTCAGTTACCACGCAGAGATGAGCAGGTTCTGTCTTCACAGCCTGAGGGTGTTTGGCACATTACAGTTTGATTGGTTAACCATGCTGTCACATGAGTGTAAAATCCAATCAGATTATTCCTGGCTGCTGTTTAGTACCATTAACACTCATTCCACTAAATCAAAAACACGTACTGACGTTACTTCGTAAGAACATGCCATCTTTATGTCTTGTGCTAGTTTCTGTTTCCCTGACAGATGTTTTGGCCCTCGCTTTATGCTGCGTACAGACATTAAGCATCGAGTCCTGCATTAAGTGCAGCCTTCAGGTGACTGGAAAGGTTACCCAAGGCAGCAGGGAGAGCAGGTTCAAAAGTCTCTGAAATTAAGGAGATGTAGACAGAATGATATACTGCCTTTGTTCTGTTGGAACAGACACACAAATTAAAAAATAAATAAATAAATTTAGTAGTTGCAGAAAAAAAAAGGAAACATATATATAATTAGTGTTATCTTCAGGGAATAATACAAATCAGGCCAATTAGGGTGAATGTCACAAAAACATGTCCAAGTCATATTTTACCCCATAATAAAAAATAAAAATAAAAACAGCAAGAAAAAATATTTTGCATAAAGGAAATTAATTTTGACAGGTTCTAATTCTCATAACACGTGTGTGAATAGAACATTTATAAATACTACAGTAAGAATACATTGTAGTAGTATTTGTTGTACTGAATTTAGTTTATCCTCATTTTTATTTTATATTACATAAAAACATTCTGGATCATAAAGTATGAGTTTCAACACTGTATCTGCAGTAATGAGAATCTTGTTTTCTCTTTGTAAAATATCACATCTTCTTTGGATTGTGCGGTGAAATATGACCCATAAAATCCTCTGTGACACTCACCCAGTAGTAACACTTTAGTTTATCACTGTATGCAAACACCACCATAAATGTATTGTACAATGAATTAACAAAACAATAATAATAATAATTGTTTCTCATGACAGTCAGCGTAGCAAAATATTAAATTATTCTCTAGACTTAACATCTTAACAGGTTAAAACAATGTAAAGGAAAACTGGACAGAGGAAAAATTATATAAATATACTGACATAATCAACAGTTATGTGCATGAAGTTTCATGGTGCTTGCAAAGCATGTTAGAGGCCAGGAGCGCCCCCTCCTGGTTTTACTTTCAACAGCAGCATTTTGAACAGCGTAGGCTGACTTCTTAGGGGTTAAACCCACAAGGCATTTCTTGTCAGAGGACTCAATATAGTGACTTAACAGCAACTAGAATTCTGATACAAATTCACAACTGAAGCCCCATTCAACTGGGAAAACCACCCCACCATGAGAGCGATAGTCTTACATAGATCGATAGATTCACAATTCAAAATATATACTATTTACTTCCAGTGTAATGTTATTTTTTAATTTTTTTCTTTTGTTCAAGTTTGAGAAGTTCCAACTTACTCGATTCAATTGCAGGGTTTGAAGTCTCTGCTAAACATTCACAGTTTCTATGCGCTGCATGGTTACTTTTCAAGTTAACAAGCATTGATACTGAATGGAATTCTCCGGTCAAACGACTTTTTTTGTTTTCCTTGATAACGTAGAACTACTGAGGGACAGGAAATGCACTGCAAGATCACATGACCAAAACCAAACAACTGCCAACTGAGAAAGGAAGCAGGAAGAGTTAAAAAAAAACAAAAAAAAAACAAGGGTGGAAAAAGCAGAGATAAAAAGATCAACAGAGGTGTAGTGCACAGCTGTGTTCCTGGTCTATCGATACACGAGGTGGGATATGGTGCTGGACTTGAAATTGAGCTGATGATTGGGCACAAAGTTATGATGAGGATTTTTGCGGGTGCACACATCACTGCCGTAAAGGCTCATGCACATCTCACATGACACCTTGGAGCAGTTCACACAGGTGTGAGAGGCCCCTGGCTTGTTGCAAAAGCCACAGCGGGAGCCGCCCACACTCAGCCGCTCACCCCCACTGCTGATGGAGCTGACCACCGGACTGCTGCCCGAACCCACGGGTTTACTGGGAAACAGCTTGGTGCTCATCACAGCTTTGTCCAGCAACAGCGAGTGGGACTGAGCGTGGGGAAACGGGTGAGGGTGAGTGTGCGAGTGAGCGTTGGAGTAGACCGACAACTTCTCCTTGATGGGCATGTAGCCATCCAAAGGGCGGGAAGTTTTAGTGTAATCCTGGAAGCCGCAACAAGGCGCCGGTTCCACTGCATGGCAGGACGAACACAAGATCATGTCGCACCTCTGGCAAGAGGAAAGTGAAGGACAGCCCATGCCGCAGCCCTGGCACTTCATCACATGTCCCTTCAGAACCCAACTGTCCCGGGACTCTCGAGGCTCCCGGCTCTGTGGCCTAGAGGGCGTCTGGTGGCCACCCAAACCCCGTTCAGTGTACAAGTCCACCTCATCCAGGGAGGACAAGTGGTAGGAGTATGGCTCAGACGGGGGCGACTGAATCGGGAAGAAGTCAGCCACTGGGCTGTAAGAGGGCGGCGCCGCCACAGGGTAAAGAGAAGGGCTCGGTCGGATGATTTCATCCTTCAAGTCTTCTTCCGTGTCGACGAACAGTGGCTCTTTGCGCAGGCTGAGCGAGGCCTTTAGCACTGGCTTGCTGGCTTGGTGCCAATGTCCTGCGCTGTCTGTTACATCCACCGACTTGGACGGCCGGCCGCTTCGCCTTAGGTGAGTGCGGTCGATATCCACCGGCCGCACCGACAGGCGGGACAAGTCTCCTGTAAGGCTGTCTCGTCGGCGGAGGGCGTCGGCGCACCCTGCCGCATCTTCTCTGGTGTTCCTCCTCACCTCCATGGCCTCCAGCTCCGAGGCAAAGCCCCGAGACATGGACACCACCTCGCCGAGCAGACGGCATTCAGCCTGGGCGAGAAGCAGTTCGAAGGCGAGCTGCCGGAGGTGGGAGGCTCCACCAGGATGGTCCCTAACGTGGTACTGCAATTCCTGGTCTCTTGAATAGCCCATGGTACGCAGCAGCGAACGCAAGTCGGCGTCGCATATCACTGACTGCAGTTGGTACACATACGGCCCCGTGAACGTCTGTAAGAGTGAAAGAACAGTCATTACACTCTCAAAAGCAAAGATTAAATTCATTTTTTCACATTCATGAACTAGAAAGGTTTTAATAGAAGGCTGAATAATTAACCCCAGAATGCAGTGCAGTCCCGCTGAAACTACAGACTTCTCACTGAAACGTAGGGCTGGGCGATATGACCTAAATTAATATTATTTTAAATAATGCATTGTGAAAAGTAGAAAATAATAACTTGCATCTCCTGTAAACAAATGTTTTAAATAATGAATGTAAATATAACACTGCTGATTAAGAGAAAGAGCAGGGCACCATCTCAGTGATCTTGTGGTATCACGCTATAAGCACAAGTATTTACTCTAGGTTCTTACTGGCCATTCACACAGAACACATCTTTGCATCTAAAACTGAGAGACGCAGCACATAAAAATTATTATTATTTTTTTTTTATGAAAGTGCAGGGCAGAATGCCTACTCCGCCATGTTGCCCTCAAATACAAAAACTTGCCATGCCAACCTGCTACTGTAAACAAAAGCTTGCCCCACCTCCAGGGTCTTCTGATTGGTCCACTGTTTTGGAACCGACATTAATGAGAGGCACTGTGTGTAAAGGTTTAAATTCTTTTGCGAGACACTGCAAAAGATGCGAGCACAACTACACACGCGGTAAGTATCTTTTTAAGGGAAAAGTATTAATAGGATTAAAAAAAAAACAATATAACCGACATGGGAAAATTACATTCGTTTACGGTTCGATGAATCGTCCAGCCCTACTGAAAGGTCATTCCCTTTGTGCTCCATGGAAAAAAACAACAATGAATCCTTTAATCCGTTGACTCACCTTTATGCAACGGAACTCTTTCTTCCAAGGAAAGAGCAGCAAGTTGGAACAGATGGTTTCCAGCGTCGCAAAGGCCATCTCCAATGTCCGCAAGTTTGCGCTTCTCTGAGTCCTCAGGGAGTTCTCAGCCATTTCATAGAATCGAACCATGCGAAAGCGCTGCCCTGGATCGGGCTGGTATGAGCCAAGCAGTGCTGTTGCAGTAGAAATCAGTGCCTCCTCGGTCTTGGCTCCTCCTCCTCCTTCACCGGCTCCCTTCTCAAGCCGATTCTCCAAAGACGCCACATACCTGCAGAATAGATCTTCTCGCAACTTGGCATCCATTGGTGGCAGTGGGCTGTGTAGCATGCAACCTCTTATTCTACAATCCAGGAGTTTCTTTAAACGGGACCCCTTGCCATCTCAAGTCCTCTCTTCCACTAGACACCGGAAGACCTGGGACAACGGTGCAGTGTGGTGGGGAAAATCAGCAAGCTGCAATCATCCTCCAAAAGAGCGATATGCAATAATGAAAGTGTGCTTGGTTTAATTCGGGCGTACGCCTTGCCCAGGGCTCTTTCATGCTGTAATGGGCATCTCTGGGTTCCTCATTAGCCAAAACACCTCAACAGGACATGAGAAGGTTTTGGGATTTGGGTGCTGGATGGAGAGTCCTCACCTTATTAAGCCCTTACTGCCAGGCTTTCCCCCGCAGTAGGTTGAACGTCAGGGTTTGCAGAGAGGAGCGCACATTAAAAACACCATGTCCAATGCTGCAACGACAGAAGAACAAAATCTGTTTGATAAAGACAAGTCTAATACATTAGGCTTGCCTCACTCTCTTTGCCAGCAATCATATAGGCCTAGCTAGTTCATAATGCAGGCACGCATCACAGAAAGACCAAAGCAGGCCATGAGAATTAAAAATACACAGCCTATGTGTGATGTAGTTTAAATCATAGTTGGGCCTAAATTAAATCTGTTTTACATTTTATGAGCTTTATGAGCATTTTTTTTATGGAAATGTGTGTAATTCTGTGGAATGTTTTTTTTTTTTTTTATGGGTTAAACAGAGAAATAAAACATTTTAAAAGCTACATCCTGCGGGTAGATGACAATGACAACATTTTGGGTACATCTTTCTCTGTTGACAACCATTTAAACACAACCATATATTCCAACAAAAGGGTTTT